TCAACGTCATGGATGTCCTCCAACGGCATCGTCCTTTTACCGTTGGCGTTGGATGGTGGCGGGGCGAGTCGTCATTTCCAGCTGCCTCGTTTGGGGTCCGTGGCGTTCCGGTGGGGTCTCCAACGATCGTTAATTTTGAATTTGTGGTCATCGTGGCAGGCGCTATGTGGACGACATTGCATACTCTTGGGAGTGTTTCGGACTGTCATGCGTCGTCACTGTGTGCACATTCCATAAGATCCGCGCCCACGCTATCCTCTCTCTTGTGTCGTTCATGGCTGACCTGCACCGCAGGCTGCCGCTGCTGCTGCTCATCGCCATGCTGCTTTTTTGATGGATGTCATGTTCCACTTCTGTTTCCTGGGGCGACTTCCTGAGAGGAACCAGACGAGGCAGTCGACGAAGAAGGGGAGCAGGATGGACAAACGGCTGATGAATAGTACACCGCCTGCAGGGTTTGGGGGGTCATCCCGTCACCGAAGTGTTCCCGTGGAAGCACGCAGGCGGTTGTCACATCATCGCACACCCGCAAATCTTTGCATGTCCCGTGCATTGCCCGTTTCATCCATCATCTTGGCGTTGCTCGAGGGATCCCACTGCAGTCCACTGCAGCGGATAGTTGAACGACAGCCTCTGAAGTTGCCACACAGTCCGGGGCGTCGACCACACTTTGTATCAGCATCCTTTGCCTGCGCCTCGATAGCTTCGCCTTCATGCGGCTGGACGCTCTGTCTACCTAACAATGGCCAACGACAACCAGCACCGCCGTCACCACCGCCGTCTTCTCAATGGACATCAACATCGCACGCACATCTCCCCTACCACCCTCTATTGCCCACGAACTTCGAAAAGACGTGGTCACCCGCAAGCCTGCCTCCTTCTCTGTGTACGCGCATCCTCAACGTCCACGCTCCACGTTAGCTGCACTTTATGCGTCCTCAGGGCGATTGGAACAGATGATGGCACAACGGAGGTCTTTGCCCACCGAAGCTCGCGCTCCAACCTGCCACGTGCTGTCACTCAAGGAGCCGACCTGGCGACGGACTTCATCTTCGAACACACCTTCCACCACACACTGCGCACCGTCGTCGTCACTCAACGAGGAGAGAAGGAGACAGTGTGAAAGGGACGGTGAGGAAAACAACATATCCACTACCTAGCTGCTGCGCTGTGAATGTCTGTGTGCCGCCTAGCCGTCGTCCCTCGCCGGAACTCGAATTTCAAATTTTGGATGGTACATTCCCACCTTTTTTTTCTTTTTTCTTTTGCAGGCCCCAACGTATTCACGCCCATCGCCTGTGGACCAACATGCCTCTTGAGCGGACATTCCAAACCGCACCACAGACACTCTTCCCGCGACCGTGTGTAATCGTATAAAATTGACCGTGGGAAGTCCCCGAGGATTCGTCCTCGGAGCTATTCCACGAGGATAGGTGGAACGCCGCCGCCAAAATTCCGAAATTCCCCCGAGGATTCATCCTCGGAGCCCGAGGATGCCCTGAGGAGTGTCGAACGAGGACCTAACAAGGACCGAACATTTGCCAGTAATTGTTTCTCCCTTTTCATCTTCCCCCACCCCCATCGAGTAACAGTAGTGTCTCAAGCCAACACTCTCCCACACACCACACACAACCCACTCACACGCGCACTTACACCCGTGTTGGCTGAAGACCTTACTAATACCAACTAGGAGGATCCAACTGACTATCTGAGTTGGCTGACACTGAGTGTGCCACAGGCGGCCATTGGGATTGAACCCATGACGTCCAGCTTCATTTCTTTTAGAATACATTGTTTTTTTTGGGGGGGGAAACATAATACATTGTGTTGATGATCGGGGAAAAAAAAAAAAGAGCAATAGATTATGCCCATGCTGATGCCCCTGCCCCCTCTGAGGTCCCACCAGCAAAGATTATTGGATAAAAATCATGACCCAACGCATCTCGATTTTCTGCTCGTTTCTACAAACCAGTCCAGATTCAGGTGTTCAATCCAATACTCTTTGCTAACCGGACCTCGTCCCCCATGCTATTGCTAGTATACTTCCAAACGGAAAAAAAAGGTCTGGATTTCAACAGTTCTTGGGTGTACCGACTGACATGCGGCAAACCCTCCGAAAAAATGGTCTGCATTTCAACAATTTTTGGGCCTCTCCACACTACTCAGACTTGGAGAAAAAAGTCCATTTTCAGGAGCGCGTCATCGCCACACAACCTCCCGACTTGGAGATGCATTTGGGAGCAGTCGGAAATTTTCTTTCGAGAGCACTCCCGAAACAGCTTGGGACTCCCGCCTGGCCATTTTCGGGAGACCTCTCATGGAGGCCTGTGTTTCGACTGGAGAACTCGTGCACAGACAAACATTCTCGCCACATGCTGGATAGTGCTGGACAGTCTCTCTCTGAAGTGCACATCCCGACCTTCAAATCAGAGAGCGCCCCAAGCCGAGAGTGCAGTGTAGGGAAGCACACTCCCTAATGGATTTCCACGTCTTCTGACATTCGGGAGTACTCCTGAATGTTTTCCCAAGTCGGGAGCGGTGCGGTGATGTTGGCCTAGCTCCACTGCTCTCAACATGTGAGAAACAAGAGTGAATCTTTCGCTACAACATGGAAAGATACACCACCATGATTTTTGTCTTTTGTGCATGTGCAGAGTAGTTGAGCCAGACCCATAAACACCGTTGGAAACACCATGAGACTTGCAATAGCTGATGAGTGTGGCCGCACTACTCCCAACTTGGAAACAAATTTACTCCCGACGTCAGAAGATCTGAACATCCATTCGGGAGTGTGCTTCGCCACATTGCACTCTCAACTTGGGGCGCTCTCACTCTCCGATTTGGAGGTCATGAGTGCACTCTCGAGAGCGCTGTCCAACATGTGGGGACGGAAAATGGGACGATCTTCTTGTCTGCAAGGGATCACCTCACCAGTTGTTCGTGCGAGGTCTCCCGAAAATGGCCTGCAGGGGGAACGGACAGGGGCCTGACCGACGCGTTTCCGCCGGCGCTAATTCGAGCGCTCGGACCAAACGTGAGCCATCGGTAACGAGAGGAGTGTTCGGCCGAAAGTTCTACCAGCGTGATAGGACTGCGGTGGGAGCTTCGTTCGCCACCATCCACCTTGATGGAGGTTGTAGCCTAGGCTATGATGGACGGAGCTGTGAACATCCGGACTCGGACCCCACGAAGAAAAGGGAGATTAGAAGAGAAGATTAACGACGAGACATTAAGGTTTTATGCACCGGTAGAAGCTCCTCGAAGGAGAATTAGGGTTGTCGCCATCCCAGCTAACGGAGAAAGAAGTTGTAGACGAACGATTTGGAGAGGGAGTTATGGCCACGCCAATGGCAGAGGGAGGGCGTTCTCCCCCTACGGCTCCTGAGCAGAGCAGCCGTTGGAGGAAGATGAGAGCAGGATAAGGGAACTCGCCCGATTTTGTTACAACGAAGGGATTATGTCGACATCAGTAGACCCAGGGGAAATGACAGTGTATGGGAGAGAAGTAACCTTCAAGGTTAATGAGCGGATCGACAAGACCAAGGTAAACTGGCTCAAAGAACATATGGTTACAATTATTTTCAGAGAGGCTGCCCGATTCCTTCCGAAGAAGCTAAAGGACGACGTGGTTAGGGCATATGAAGATGAACGTTTGCGGGACGAAAGCTTCGAATCGAGTACCTTCAGACGGGGAAGGGTGAAAGTAGAGAGTCCTAATGTGGTCTCCTACATCGCCAAGAGCGCAGCAGTAGCCTCATGGCTAAAGAACAAAGGTCAGGACGAGATCACTCTGGGAAGTACAAGATATGTATTGGAGTTTAAACCTTGGCTAACGAGGGCACAATTGAGGGAACAGAGGAGAAGAGAGGAGGACTCTACCTTTTGGGTAGTAGCAGTCCAAGTGCCTTTGGATGCAATGTTTTACATGGAGGCCCATATCCAAAAGGCCATAGGCCTAGTGATGCTAGCACATCCACCTGAGCTTTATCGCTTAAAACCATCTTTAATTAATCTTAAATTTGACGTGGAACCGGCCTCTCGAGCGAACATGAAGGGCAGGATCTCAGTAGTAATGTTCGAAGGAGACACCTTAATAGTCAATCTCGCTTCATCTGAAATGCCATGTTGCAGAAGATGTAAGGCCTTCTTCCACATGGAGGACCAGTGTCGTAGAAACCAGCAACAACGACAGAATGACCCTTCGCAAGAACGCTCACAAGGCTTCTAGCAGACTTCACTGACTATTCATCAGGGTTATCAAGGCCCATTAGGACCAAGACCAAGTCAATCGGAAGGGGAACGGAGAATACAATGGAACGGATGGATCAAAGAGGGGAGGCAGCAAACGGTCCTTCAACATTTATGCCATGGACAACTCAAGGCATGCACGCCCAAGCCATCCCTATGAGCGGCTATGGTTTCCCATCAGGAGCGTACTTGGGCCTACAAGGCACAAGGAGTGGATACCTCTTTGGAGGATACAGCTACCAGGACCATACGTACCAGTAAGCGGAACAGGAGGACTTCATTATGGAGGCCAACCGAACCTTGGAAGGTGGCAACCAGTAGACAACTCAGGACAAGGACGAGGTGGCACGCAGGCAGGAGGAGATGAAGCAAGACCGAGAGAATCCAGAAGTGAAGGCCTCCATACTCCTGGCACACATGGGGCAGAAGGAGGGATATCAGAGGGAAGGCGGCAGGGGAGTCAGACACCAGGAAAACAGAGGAGGCTTAGCAGGGAAGGAAGTGCTGCCTCTATTTTGAGATCAGAAATTCCGGGGCATCATCTCAATCTGTAACTTCTCAACCACAAGTGATCGGCATGTCAGGATCAAAGAAAACCCGAAGAAGGATGCTGGTGGCAGTGAGTTGGGGACAACAAGACAACATAGAATCAAAGATTTTACCGTTGTTCTGCACAGGGACAAGAGGGAGCGTCTTCTTTATCGGCTGGTCCGGTGCGGACATGTCAGTGAATCTGCTAACATTGGGGTCTCCAGAAACCCCGATGCCGACAACTATTTCAACATTGGTGCGAACGACCATAAGGGACAAATTCCATTTTCGGTTGATACCGGAAATGTTGATGCCCCGACTACTAGTAGACAACCCTGAAAACCGGAAAAAGATCAAGTTTTTCGTGCCAATATTGGATGTTCGTTTTGTGAATGGACAACTGGAGAGTTTGGAACAGGAGGGCCTCCGTGTGCTACCGATCACATGGATAGCAGAGAAGAAAAAGCAGGAACTTCAGAAAGTAAGAGTCCTTCTACTGAGATCGACAGAATTCCTGACAGAAATGGAGTCAAAGTTACCAAAGGAGAAGAAGTTGCTCTCGCCTTTCCTGCGCATGTATCTGACTAGCAGCTGGCTCGCCGGAACAAAGGGTACCTCACAACAGTTATCCAGTCCTCATGCAACATGCTCCATCCAACAGAAAGGGGAAAGCGGTGTGAATGGGCAAAATTAAGATCTCCTCATGGAATGTTAGAGGACTGGGAGACTCAGGAGGACGCCATAAAAAGGAAAGATTAAAGGCCTGGGTACATGAGAATGGGACCCAGATCATCAGCTTGCAAGAGACGAAATCGAGTGAGGAGAAGGTGGACGCACTAGGGAACTGGTGGGACGGCCCACAACTGTGGTCGCCAGCACAGGGTACGAGAGGAGGGGTAGGAATCTTGATTCATAAAAGATTAGATACCACTATCATAGATTACAATGCTGACCTTTGGGGAAAATGGGCATGGGTGAAATTACTGATAGATGAAGAAGAATGGGTAATCGCGACAGTCTACGCACCGACTGACCAGAAAGAAAGGCGGATATTCTGCGAAAAGCAGGACTACGTACTATCGGTTTGCAAAAGAACGATAGTGGTGGGCGACCGGAAACTGGCATTAGACGACACTGAGGGAACCCAGCAAGCTTCCCCTGATAAGGAAGCACTACTGGGAATAATGTCAGAGTTGGATCCGATAGACCCATACAGATTGAGCAACCCAGACAAACAAGGTTTCACTTGGTACTCCAACCCACGCCCTGAGATAGGAGTAATTAGCAGAAGATTAGATTACTTTCTGATCTCTGGTCCTTTATGGGAAGCAGTTCAACAAATGAGCATTGACACCAATCCTTCTCAGACCACAAACCAATTATTCTAAGTCTATCAACATGACAGGTTAGGAGAGGGAAGGGATACTTCAGATTCAATCTTCAAAATCTGGAGGACCCGGGGTTAAAAGAATGGATGGGGAAATTTTGGACTGACTGGCAAACAACAAAGGACCTATACGGGTTACTAACAGAATGGTGGGATGCGGGCTCAACAATCTTTTCCAACCTGGTGAATGTGTTCTCCCGAATCCTAGCTTTCGACAGGAAGAAACAGGAAAAGGAGATAAAGAAAAATATCAAGTACGCAAAGAAAAGAATGGAGGAACATCCAATTTCGAGGGTGGTGTGGGGACGGGAACGGGCCAGACGGATGAAGGACTGAGACGAAATGCAAGTGAGGAAGTCTGAAGTTTGGGCAGATCGGTTAAAAGTGAAAGGGGTAACAGTCTATGATGGAATGACCAAGGAGTCATTCCAAAAATTGTTACCAAGCCGCTCCTCAGTATCAATGACAAAGTTCCGACACCCGTTTGACGACAACGCAGTGACAACCAAAGAATTGACGGAGTTGTGTAATCACGCAGCCACTTACTACAGAGATATCCTGACCTTTCGAGCACAAGGGACATACGTAGTAACAAATCTGGACGATGGCAACAGTCATTTGGAGAACACCAACGCTTACCTGTCACAACAAGGACATTTTAACGTGGATCGGCCAATAACGGAGGAGGAGGCCTTAGAAGCCTTGAAGGCTATGACCAAGGGCAAAGTCCCAGGCTGCGATGGCCTACCTGCGGAGCTCTACTCGGAGCTGTGGCAGGTGCTAGGAGGGAGCCTAGTGGAGATCTACAACCAGGTGCTGATAGGGGGCAGACTCTCAAGAAATATGTGCAGAGGAGTCATTTCAGTACTGTTCAAAAAGGGAGATCGAACGAAGATCAGGACCTGGAGACCGGTGTCCTTGCTAAACGCCTCATACAAGATACTTGCAAAAGTACTTGCGAGGAGATTAGGACACTACCTTCGAGACTTGGTGAAATTTGATCAAGCAGCCTTCGTTAGAGGAAGGACAATCTTCGATAACGTCACCACTGCAATCGAGACATTGGAGACAATCCAAAGAGAGAACTTGAACATCGCGGTACCGTTTTTGGACTTGGAGAAGGTGTATGACTGAGTAAATTGGTCATACGTTATCACAACTCTAAGGCACATGGGTTTTGGGGAGAACTTCACAATATGGACCAAGACGCTATATGTCTACTCAACAACAGAGTTCCCGCTCACAAGGTCGCTCCGACAAGGATGTCCTTTGGCTCCACTACTCTTCGCATTACAGTTTGAGGTAGTCCTGAACAATATCAAGGAGCACCCACAAATACGAGACCGTCATACAAAGTCAAGGCCCTGGCAGACGACCTCTTTGCAGTCTCAGAAAACATAGAACAATCGATGACGGCACTAAAGGATTGTCTAGATGACTACTCTGAGTTATCAGAAGCAGCAATCAAATGGCACAAGTCGGCGTATCTGCTCCCTGAGCAGTATGAGTCGGCGATGGAGTGGGGGATGCGGAAAATTGAACAGGGAAGGTCGGAACACTTCCTGGGAGTCCAAATATCACTGTTGGACTGTGCAGCGATACAGGACGATCTGTTACTTCAGAAAGCGCTCCACAGGCTGGTGACGTGGGGGAAGCTCCTCATCTATTGTTGTTGGGGAGGTACCGGGTACTGAATGGAGCACTGTTCGCACTTCTCTGGTTCGTGGGAGCGGTAAGGAAGATTGGAGACAACACGTACAAGCTTATAAGGACACGGGCAATAAGATTCATATGAACACCATTCGCGGGAGAACAGGAATCTTTCATTTCGAAGGTTGCATGGGAGATGCTATGTTTGCCAAGAGAGGAAGGGGGTCTGGGAATTGTGGACCCATGCAAACAGAACGAAGCAATGCTAATCAAGTGGATAGTGCGAGCCTGTTTGGAGGACCCAGTTCCACACTGAGTCCACCTGGCAGAAAAAACCCTGGCCAAGGAATGAAACTTACCTCGAGTGGAAGACGTGTGGACTTGCCTGCTCCTCCGCTCCTATCAACGCAGAGTTATTCAATCTCCATTATGGGCAGCAATCATCAGAGCTTGGCGGAAGCTGAGGCCCCGACACATGCACGCCACCAAAAACGAAGGTGAAAGTACTGGCACAACCTTTGTTTGAGAATCCGATGATACAAACAAAGGAGGGATCTTGGTTGAAGGCAGACAGTCAACGACAGTCTCGAAAGGTCTTGGATTGAGAAGGGAGTACTGATAGTAAGGGACATATGGGATGGGTTCACAGAGAGTTGGAAACACCTAGCGAAGATGAGAGAGAAGCTAGGCCAACTCCGAGGGGTGGAAGAACGATTGCAGATGATTATTGAAGTTGTACCCGATGGTTGGAAGACAATTCTAGACCCAGCCACGACAGACCACCGGGCACATGGTATATTCAACAAGAACAGGAAGAGAGCGAGCTATGGGAACTTCAATTAATCCAGCTGGACGGAAAAGGAATTTTCCAGAAATGGAACTTCGCGCCCTCTGGCAGGCTACTTCCGATAGAGACAGCGGATCAACCCAGGCTAGGTTCCCCTCTGGCACAAGTCAGGGTAGTGAAGACAGACCAGGAAGGAGGAAGCCAAACTCTGGCGCTGGCGGCTAATGGTAAACCAATCTCGCTGCTAAAGCTAGAACCCAAAATGTGGGAATGGAGAGCGCTTGGAAAAAGAGAAGAGAATGTATGCTTGTTTAATTACACACAGCAGATGGGTTACAGGAGTGTTATTCAAGCGAAACACCCAGAAACAGTGGCGAGAACCAGATGGGCACAACTCCTGCCAATGGAACAAGACGCTGTGACGCCCAACCTCACGCCCAACACGACTTCCTGATCGGAGTGGGATGTGGGTCTGGAAGTGCGAAAAGGGGTGTGCCAAAGATTTTTGGGAAAGTGGGGGTGGAGTCCCAGGTCAGAAATGAGATCTCCTGTGGCAAAGTTCTAGGGGCGGGTTACTTCCAGTCTGTTGGTGTTCGATGTCGTGCAGCATAAGGCAGATGGCATGCGCGGTGCATTCAAGGTCGTTCGATTCGTCTGTTTTGGGGGCGGCGGTTCGGGGAGAGGCCCGCCCGGGATAGTCGTGTTCCCGATGAGTCGGACCTTTGGGTGCCGACACGTGGCGTCTGTCGTCGCGCGCTTGGGTTAGGCCCTCTAGTTTCAGGGGCTCATCGGTTGCCACGTCGCCGACAATTTCCGCAGGGTGTGCGGGGCCAGTACGGGGCGATGGAATTCCACGGAATCACCGTGATTTGGTGATATAAGAGGAGGATACAGAAGGGAGGGAAGTTGGTAGAGATGACGACGAAGCCGGGGGATATGAAGTATCGCGTGTTGTCCGAGGTGGGAAATCGGGGCAACTCGGGTCGCTAGTTGTGGCACAGTGAAACCCCGTGGGGCACAATCGATTCTCGGTTAGGCAAGGGAATTCCGGGTACCTCTGCCTAATACATTCTCTCACCCAAGGGTCAAAGTACTCCGAGTCCCAGGAGCTCGACATCTTATCATTGCGGTGTGATGCAATTCTTCCGCACGCATCTAACCGGCAAGGGACTTTTCCGATGTGATATTCGGAAATCCTATCCGTTTAGGTGCGTAGGGGAAGGAAAATTCCTGCCTACCCGATGTCGAAGGTGTCAAGTTCGTCGATGGTCACGAATGGACGCGCATGGATACGTGTAGGCTGCACGGATTAGATCGCGCTTACATGCATCCACGCGAGGTGTTCGCTTATTTCTGGAAAAACAACTACCCAATCATCTAATCACTTCGTGATCCCATGCGTAATCGTTCATGAGTATCCAAGGTGCTGTTACATATCAGAGTCCCAGGAGCTCGGCATCTTATCATTGCGGTGTGAAGAAATTCTTCCGCAGACATCTAACCGGCAAGGGAATTTTCTGATATGATATTCGGAAATCCTATCCATTTAGGTGCGTGGGGGAAGGAAAATTCCTGCCTACTCGATGTCGAAGGTGTCAAGTTTGTCGATGGTCACGAATTGACGCGCGTGGATACGTGTAAGCTGCGCGGATCAGATCGCGCTTACATGCATCCACGCGAGGTGTTCGCTTATTTCTGAAAAAACAACTACCCAATCATTTAATCACTCTGTGATCCGTGCGTAATCGTTCCTGAGTATGCAAGGTGCTGTTACATATGAGGCATCGCAACAACGACAGTGGCTAAAAAAAGGGATAACCATCAATGGAAGCAGTACTGATAACTACGCAAAAGTTCCTACTATGCTCATGACAAGCAAGGCAAGGACCAGACAAAAGAAAAACAACAGACATGACATTCATCCATCCATTCGACATAACACACAACAAACGGGATCGAGATCAATCACAAAATGAGTGTGGGCGGAAACCAAGCCAAAACTCCGAAAACAAAAGAAAATGGGCAAATCGCCCTGAGCCGAGATCAAAATTTATATACAAAAGCAAGGAGGGAGACAAGACAAAGAAAACTGCAAACCACGTTCATCAACCTCAGCTCCCTCTTCTTCTCTCTTCCTCTCCGATGCGGACAGTCCGTCGTCACGCACCCACCCACGAAGTCGTCACCCCGCTTAGTCCTCCCGCACCCGTCAGGTTTGCCCGCGCCCACAGTCCGTCGTGGCCCGCGTCGACCACGCGCATTCAGTACCAGCTCGTCGGGTCGCCCGACTTCCACTTCAACTCACCTCTTACTTCGCTCGTGAGCCAACCCTCACTGATCGTGCTCCCCGAGCTTCCAACAACTGGTTAAGAGAGCTATCTAATCGCGCATCCGAAATTTATAGCGTGCATGCATGCGCGAAGAACACAGAATTGCAAGGACTTAGAAAGGGGATTAGCGGAGGGAACGCCTACGTTCTGCATGGCCAGACCGCGGCTTGGGGGACTTTGCCACTCTCCACGCATTGGTTTAATCATGAAGTACGCGGGCTAGCTAGACATAGCAAGAGAAAAAGCGAGAGCGGGAAAGGCGAAGTTCAAGAAGAAAGATACAGTTACAATGACGCCCACCCAAAATTACAGTTACACACACGATTAAGGGCGCTGACTAATCAAAGCTCCGTTGCAGCCGCAAAAAGAAGCCCGTAAGCAAAAAACGCTGCGCGGCAAAGGAAAATCCTAACTTCCACAATTCCAAAATTCCTATCTAATGCAGAAAAAGCGAAAAGCACGAATTCCGAAAGGAAAGTTCGAAATTCCGAGAGCCATTAGGACTCGAAAAGATTCAAAAAGAAAATTAAAAAAGAACGAGGCAAAAATTCCCGCGCGGTCTCCATGCCTAAAATCCAACAACAGAAAACGAAAAGGAACGACGTCAACCAGTATTATTCGCGCGCTCGACGGCGCGCCACTCAATCGATCATCCCAGGACTCGCCCGGCACTGCACCCAATGATCTGAAAAGAAACGACGCAAAAAGACGAAGAAACGAGGACACCGATTCAATTTCCTTTCAATCCCGATCTCCCGTAATTGGCCCATCCTTCCCAGCTTAGGACCCCTCATTGTTATTGTGCAGAAAATCGCATGGAACAGAAATCGGTTCGTCACATAGATAGGCAAAGCTCTAAAGAAATGTCGGGAACAGCTGAAGTTGATCTCCAATCAACGTCAAGCTTCTATCCTGTGGCAAGTCTCTCTGGTTGCCACACCTTGGGCAGTTTGGTTGGCAGAATGTGGGATGAAGGTGGAATTGAAATGCAGTAGGTGTGAATGGGCGTTTGAATCCACAGTGCATCTGTGGTGGGACTGCCGTGCCTCAAGGAGAATATGGAAGTGGTGGACGAAACAGTGGGATAAATGCACAGGCGGGGAATTTCCATTGGACAAAGGAGTGGTGCCTGTTAGGGGGGATTCATGAAGGACACAGTATCTCAGACGGCTGGGGGTACATGGCACAAAGTGCGAGAGCAGTAGGTTTTGCGGTGATCTGGCAAGAAAGAAATGAGAGATTGTTCAGAAACAAAGACTGGACAAACAAACAGATCAGAGGAACCTTCAAACAACTGCTGAGAAGAACAGTGATGGCGGACTGGAGGAGGAAACTAAGCAGAACAGGCAAAAGCGAACCAGGTCTGAAATGGTTCAACGGGACTTGGTGCAAGAGAGGGCAGTGGGGGAGAGTGGAAGATGGGAAATTGATATTGGACCAGTGGTTCTTTACAAGTTAGTAGACGATAGGATACCATCCTGAACACTCGGATGTGGGCCTTTGGTGGGTCGCAGGAGACAGGCGGAAGGTTGAAAGTGGAGGGAGTGTTGAACCACCGTAATAGGTGGACCTGGTAGAATAGTAATCCCAGCAGAACAATAAGACAGTAGAACAGTTCTAGGTGGCTACCCCCTTTTTCAGACTTAGCAGATCGGAAGGGGAAGGCAAGACGGTACGATAGTTTCAGATTGGTTCAGTCTGCCCCCTCCTCTCTTCTTATTCTTCCTTTGGTTCTTTCAGGTTTGTGCGTTTTTTGGGCCGTGAGGACTAAGTTCTTGCTTTTTTCTTTTTCACTCAGAGAGGATTCTTCAGGTCAGAGGTCCATAGGGGACAGGAGCTGTATCTGGTATAATTGTCTCTCTCTCTGAAGACTAAGCTGGCTGATGCTGTCAGTACTTCACCGGGTTGAATTGTTTTTTTTTTTGTGTCTAATCTGACAACGGTGGCCTTTTCAGCCCAGGGTGGCCTGATAGCCTTAGGGTGGCCTGAATTGTGGGGTCCCCGGCCCCGTTCTTGATTTTCGTAACATGATATACTGTGCTTACAAAAAAAAAAAGAAAACAGGAAAAAAAAGGCCTGCAGCGGATCACCTCACCAGTTCTCCGTGTGAGGTCTCCCGAAAATGGCCATTTGAAAAAAAAAAAAAAAAAAAAAAAATTGCCATTTGCAGGCCGGAGTCCCAAGCTGTTTCGGGAGTGCTCTCAAACGCAAATTTACTCCCGAATGCATTATGACATCTCCAAGTAGGGAGTTGGTGTGGCGATGACCCACTGAAATTGGCCATTTTCCCTCCAAGTCGGGAGTAGTGTGGCGAGGCCCGATGAACTAAAGAAGTATAGTTTTCTGCCGCAAAAAAAGTAGATAGTATATCACACCGCATTGAGGGACGCCTTAGAGCTCCCTGCCCTAAAGCAATGAAAAACCAATGAGAAGAGGGACGCCTTAGAGCTCCCTGCCCTAAATGGAGGGATGCATCATCCCACCGTCCCTATCAAACACGGTCGACGGTTCCTAACTGTCACACACTGTCACA